GTCAGTGTCCTTAAAGCGGGTGTGTTACGCTAACAGTGGATACGGTGACCATTGCCACCACTTAGATCTGGTGACACAAAGCTTGGATTTAAAAAATCCAATGGGCGGCGTGTGGGGGCCATAAAGATAATGAGGGGGGACCTACTGTCCTCCACACCCCTGGGCGGCGCGTGGGGGCCATAATGCTAATGAGGGGGGACCTACTGTCCACCCCCCCTCCAGCCCCCACCCCTGGGTGGCGTGTGGAGGCCATAAAGATAATGGGGGGGGGACCTACTGTCTTCCCCCCTGGCCCCCACCCCTGAGCGGCGGGTGGGGGCCATAATGATAATTGTTTCGAATTTTCCCACGCTGTGTAAAATGACAAAGAGCACTCTGATTGGCTTAAACCCACCAATCAGAGTGTTCTTTGCCTAATTGCAGGGCGGGGCAAGGCTTTATAAGCCTTCCCCCGCCCTGCGGAGCTCAGTCTGCACGGAGCACTCCATGGGTGAAGAGGGATTATTTTTTTGCGCTCGGGTTTTTTCTTTTTCGTCAAGGTTTTTTTTGTGCTCGGGATTTTTATTTTATTTTAAATTCGACAGTTATGTTGGTTTTTTATTTGGCCTTTTTTGGGGCTTTATTTTTATTTTACAGGTTAGTTATTTTATTCCCCCCTCACTATTTTTTAGAGTGAGGGGGTAGGTAGGGACTTTTTATTTGGGTGGGGGGGTGGATGACTAGAGGCTTGGGGACCCCTAGTCACCTTGGTGGGTGGGAAATTGACTTAGTACCCCCACGCACCACCCAGGGGTGGGGGCCAGAGGGTGGGTGGACAGTAGGTCCCCCCTCATTATCATTTGGCCCCCACCCTACACCCAGGGGTGGGGGCCGGGGGGGAGGACAGAAGGTGTCCCCCCCTCATTATCTTTATGGACCCCACCCGCGGCTCAGGGGTGGGGGCCGGGTGGGGAGGACAGTAGGTCCCCCCTCTAATTATCATTATGGCTGCCGCCCATGGGGGGGGCAGTAGGTCCCCACCCCCATTATCATTATGACCCCCACCCACCGTGCAGGGGTGGGGGCCAGGGGGGAGGAACTTAGGTCTCCCCCCTTATTTTACTTTAGGCCCCCCACCCGTCATTTTTTTGTTTTGTTTTTTACAGTGAGCAGCCACAGGCTGTTTATCAGACATGCGCCTACTCGCGGTATAGTGAGTAGGGGCATATTATTTACTAATACTAAGTAATTTTTACTTAGTATTAGTAAAGTTGGCTGAAAGACCAATTTAGGTCTTTCAGCCTTTTAGTAGATAACTCCCTGATACCGTGGGAATTAGGGAGTTATCTACTAAGCGGCTGCAAGATGCAGCCACAGCAATAATAGGATCAGAGTTTCATTCATTCGAATGAAATTGCAATCCGAATAAAGTGCCGAATTGCGTTCTAAAAGAAACTAACATACTGTTATCATTCAGTTAGAACGCAATTCGGCAGTTTTGTGTAAAATGACAGGAAGCATCGCGGGAACACAGAGGAAAGGTAAGGATCATGGGAAAATTGCTCTGACCAGCGGAAATGAAGCACACTTTGCTCCTCCGCTGGTCAGAGCTGGTCAAGCGGAGGAATCCTCCATAAGGCAAAGAGTCCCTACTTTGTCTTATGATTTTAAAGAAAACTAAAGAAGACAGGAAGAAAAGAAGAACAGATCCCGAGAGATATTCCTTAGGGTAGTGTCCACCAAGTGGGAGACCTGCATAAATACGGGTAGGTAGCCCACTGTAAACTCAGTTTGTGTTTTACCCTCAATGCGGAGCTTGGTCTCGTTATTGGGGGGATTTTATTACCGGCGACTAGAGACTGCTCTTTGGAACTATTTGCTGCTTGGAAGATATTGGCTTTCGGCTGATATTGGCAGTTCGTGAACTTGTGGCGTGTGAAGGGAAGGAGCTGTACGGGTACCGTTCGGGAGTTTGGAGTGATCCCTGGTTGGCGGTTCGCATGGTTGTATTGCATACGATACCAGACAACGTTATTGCGAACGGGGAGCATTCACTAAATGGCAGTTTGTACATTTTATTACTGAAGGTACCGTAACACATTAACATGGGGAAAAGGGGGGGACACATGGAGAGAGAGAGGGGGGGCACATTGAGAGAGAGAGAGAGAGAGAAAGAGAGGGGGAACATGAGGAGAGAGAGGGGAACATGGAGGAGAGGAGGAGGTGTTGGCGGAGAGAGAGAGAGGGGGGAAATGGAGAGAGAGAGGGGGGGAACATGGAGAGAGAGAGAGGTCTGGAGAGAGAGAGGGGGGAACAGCTTTTGGGAGAGAGAGAGGGGGGAACATGGGGAGAGAGAGAGAGGGGGGAACATGGGGAGAGAGAGAGAGGGGGGAACATGGAGGGAGGGAGAGAGAGGGGGGAACATGGAGGGAGGGAGAGATAGGGGGGAACATGGAGGGAGGGAGAGATAGGGGGGAACATGGAGGGAGGGAGAGATAGGGGGGAACATGGAGGGAGAGAGAGATAGGGGGGAACATGGAGGGAGGGAGAGATAGGGGAGAACATGGAGGGAGAGAGAGGGGGAAACATGGAGGGAGAGAGAGAAAGGAACATGGAGGGAGAGAGAGAGAGAAAAGGGGAAACATGGAGGGGAGAGAGAGAGAGAGAAAGGGGAACATGGAGGGAGGGAGGAGGAAAGGGGGGGAACAAGGAGAGGGAGAGAGAGGAGGAAAGGAACATGGAGGAGAGAGAGAGAGGGGAACAAGGAGAGGGAGAGAGAGGAGGTGCTGGGGGAAACATGGAGAGAGAGGGGGGGGGACACGCAAGAGAGAAAAGGGGAACATGGAGAGAGAGAGAGAGAAAAGGGGAACATGGAGAGAGAGAGAGAAAAGGGGAACATGGAGAGAGAGAGAGAGAAAGGAATTATGGAGGGAGGAGGGGAGGAAAGGGGGGAACAAGGAGAGGGAGAGAGAGGAGGAAAGGGGGAAATGGGAGAGGGAGAGAGAGGAGGAAAGGGGAGAGAGGAGGAAAGGGGGGGTGAGGAGGAGGGAAAGGGGGGGGCAATGAAGAGGAGAGGAGGAAAGGGGGGGCATGGAGAGGGAGAGGAGGAAAGGGGGGGCATGGAGGGAGAGGGGGGACATGGGGAGAGAGATGGAGAGGGGGTGTAGCGGAGCGTTATTTTAACATAGACTTTTCTCCGTTGGTATTCCTATAGTTGCTCAGGATCAAGTAGATTATCATAAGAACAGCATAAGCAATAAAGTAATCCACGAATCTCCCATTACTTTCCAAGGCAAGGGAGACATCCACAGAAAATTAGGAATTACCCAATCACTAGTTGGTTACAGTGCAGAGGTTCTTGTAACAGATCACCTGGCACCCTGACTGGGTACCTCCGTTGATGGATGCTCCTAGGGCTTACAGAGGACTCCAAGCACTCGGCAGACACCACAACCACCGCAGACCCCACGAACTGCCGCAGCTTGGTTGGGGTCTTGCCGTCTCCTACCCACCCTGAATCTATGACAAGGCTCCAGGTTCCAGAAGGTGAACCTCTCCTCCAGGAGAGTAAAGCAGGAGCAATCTCTTACAAGAGCTTAGAAGTGATTATCCAAGGGAGCATGCAGAGCATAGCAATCCCTTGTAGTGATATAGCAATTCCCCCAATAAGAGACAGGACTCTAGATTGAGGGTGAAGAAGAATTCTGGTTTAATGACACACACTGCTTTTATGCAATTCTCTCATGCAAGAGAGACGCCCACAGGTATCACTGGATTAGGTCCAGGGTGAGTGGAGGACAGAGAGACCCCAGGCAAGCTGCAGTGGGTAAGGGGCTATGGTGCTTATGGGGTCTGGTGCAGTACTTATAGTACTCCAGGATACTAGGAAGCAGCGATTGGCAATGAAACCCAGTTGGGGTGCCAGGCGGTCCATCATGTACCTATTTAGATACTGTGTTATTATACAGTGCAACATCTTTATCATCATTTTATTCATACTCTTATTATATAGAGCAACAGCTTTGTTATCACTGTATAGATACTCTGTATGTTTATCAGCGTATAGGTACTTTTTGATAATTATACAATACATGTTTATCAGTGTAGAAATTCTCCTAATTTTGGATAGCAGCATTATCAGAGTATAGATATTTGGTATAATTATACAAAACCGTATGTTCATTATCAGTGTATATAAACTCCCAGTGTAATTCACTAAATACCAAATTTTATCCGGATGGAATCTAATCAATGAAAATGGCCATGTTACATCCAGAATTTATACTAAAGCTGGGCTCGACAAATCCCAGGCGCCAGGGGAATTTGTCCTGGCGCCTATGATTTGTAAGCATGTTCAGCCCCCTAAGTGTCCCGCTGTCTGAGAGCAAAGGCAGGCAGTCGGATCACGGAGGGCTGAGGCAGGCCGCTGACTGAGGAATGCAGCTGGCCAGCTCATTGAGAGGTAAGGAAAGGAGGCCGGCTCATGTATTGCTGAGGGAGGGGGTAAGTGGGGCGACCTGCTCATTGAGAGCTGAGGGAGGGTAATGGAGAGTAGAGGGAGGTGGACAGATGACTTGATGCCGCATTGAGGGAGCTGTAACCTCCCTGCTTTGCTCCCTTTTGCGGCTTGCAGTGATCCCGGGTTATGACGTCACTCCGCCCCCCTGGCTCACTAAGAGAGGAAGCTGAGTAGGGAAATGACAGCAGCCCCACCGGACCACAGGGAAAGCCTATCTACTCCAGCTCTCCAGAAGTAAGGTGCCTGGGTAGATTTAAATAAAAAAAATTACGTGTTTGTGTATGTCTGTGAGCCTGTATGTGTTTTCCCTCCAATCACATTGGAAAGGTGTTATAACAGAGCTTCCTGTACCCCAGTTGGGTACCTTCGCCGACGGATGCTCCTAGTGCTTACTGAGGGCTCCAAGCACTTCTCCAAAAACCATAAGTACTGCAGACCCCACCAACCGCCGCAGCTTTGTTGGGCTCTCGCTTTCTCCTACCCACCCTGGACCTACGACAAGGCTCTGTTGGGGATAAAATCAGCCCGGGCCCTTTGTGGATGATGGATATTTGCCAACTCATTCAGAGCTTTGGAAATGAATAGCAGAGACGTGTTCAATAACCAATTCAAATTTTATTCATACGTCAGTTATATTTATACCCTGTTTTCATAGCAGGATGGGAAGGGGAAACATGAGCATATGAGCGTGACAATGACAGATTGTTTTTCACAAGTTATAAACAGCTGTTTCTTGTTATATCACACTTTTATCTGATAAAAAGAGAGATATTTACAAATACCAAAATCTTGGACAATTAACAAGAATATTTCGAAATCAGTACTTTTCCCGTAACTAGGATTTCAGATAAATTTATTTCCAAGAATCTGAGATACAATTCCAAATGTATTCTTGGTTCAAATTATCCCTCATATGAACAGCTAGGATAGATAGTGAAATGTATATTTGTATCTACAGGCTCCAGGTTCCAGTGGGTGAACCTCTCTTCCTCCAGAGAGCGAAGCAGGAACAGCTTTTACAAGAGCTAGAGATTATTCAAGGGAGTATGATGAGCATAGCAATCCCTTGTAGCTGTTTCCCCCAATAAGAGACAGGACTCTAGATTGAGGGTGAAGTAGAACTGAAGGTTTAATGGTACAGCTGCTCTTTTATACAGTTTTTTTCCCCACAAGGTTACCTCTCAGGTGGACCTTGTGGGGCACAGGACATGAAATTCACAATCCAATAAAAACAGTGAGGGAGTTTTACACTTGAACACTCCCAGTTACTGTACACCAACCCTCCCCTCTGCCTGTGATACAATTAACAAAGACAATGGACTAACTCAACTAACTTTAGCAGAAAAACCTACATTTTAAAAAGTCCAGAAAACACCCCAAAACATAACATATCCCCATATAGCTGATTTGGGTGAACAACATACCAAAAATCATCCAGATCCAAGCAGGGGCTCAGGAAATTCCTGGAAGTCATATTTGACCGACTACAAGCACGGCTTCATGCCCAAAACAGTTCCAGAGAACCAGGGCTTGCGGCCAGTCTAGTTTTGGTAGTTTGCAAACAAACGAGCAAACTACCGAATGGAGTCAATAGTCTTACCCTGGGCTTGTTCTCTTCTTCCAGACGAATGATCTCACCGAACAGTGCTCTTCTAAGCTGAATAGAAATCAACGCAGGCGATGATGTAGATCCAGCGGTGTTTGGGAGTTAATGTATCCGATTTTAGTTCCAGGAGATTCATGCCCAAACTCTGCTGCCTGCATTCATGCAAACAATATGGCCGCTACCTTGTGGTTGTTCATAGGAATCACGGCTACCCAGACGAACAATTAGAACACTGCGGTGAGAAACGTTCTAACTTAATAGGTGTTAACAAGCCTGTTTAAAGTATATTGGCTAGTTCTATTGCAGGGGCCATATTCACAGGGTAGGAGGCTGGCCAAAAGACCCCTGAGGCGAGGTCACTTTCGCCACAGGTGTTTTTACTTGCCTTTTTTCACACGCCGTGCTGAGGAGGCTGCGGCTGGCCCCACCTCCATGTCTTAGATTATCAATCTTGATGATCTCAGCCAATCTAATGCTTCCCCATTGGAAGACTATTGCGCATGCACAGCAAAATGCCACTGCGCCAATTTAACTTCTCATAGAAGTGCATTGAATCAATGCATCTACATAGGGAATATTAACATAGGTGCTGCACATTGTGAAGCACTGATCCAAGAAGCACTGATCCAAGAAGCACTGACCCAAGAAGCACCTCTAGAGGCCGTGTGAGTGACTGTCGCTAGAGGTGTAAACACTGCCTTTTGTCTGACAAGTTAGTGTTTACATTGAAAATCGTTCAGGGACAGGATATAGTCTTCAGAACAACTGCATTAAGCAGTAGTGGTTCTGGTGACTATAGTGTCCCTTTAAGAATTGTATTTTTGGTGTTCATTTCTCTGGCTCCTAAGTTTTATAGCTGGCTCCTAAATTCCAATCAAACTTGTCAAACCCTGTTCTAAAGCTAATTCCTGTTGAAATCGTGACACAATTCGTTCAGCGGGATCAGTGTTAGCACAATATCGTTCTCTTGCTTTTTACAAGCAAATTAGCATTCAAATAACTAATTTGTGCTGGCAGTGTTAGCAGCCTGTGGGGAAATAGTTAAAAAATTAAATATATATGTGTCTTACAGGTTAACCATGTGGTGGTTAGACAATGCTTGCTAGCCAGCAACTACATTCAATAGTAAAAAGACAAAAAATCCTCCCTTACGCCCCAATCCCAACCACGCAGCAAGTTGGCATATCTATTAAACAGTGAATCACTGTCTTTATAAACTAGCGAGTTAGAAACCATTGGTTCTCCAGCTAGAAAAGGACAACCCTTGCTCTTGTTCAATCAGTAGTAACCCTCTACTGCCTCTGTGCCGGCAATGGCTGACTGTAGATTGTTAGATTCCCAAGTCCCCCCTGTCATGTAGAGAAGACCTGTGTGGAAACCTTGGGAAAAACCTGTTAGATACTCCACCAGATGTTTAGACGGGTGAGTGGGCAGTAGCTCTGCTAGAACGTCAGTATCAACTGATATCAGATAAGGTTTCAGATGCATTTTATTTGGGCATATGGCTTTCGCATGATAGCATACATGTAATAGATGACATGCACTATATGCACAAGCCCCCACATTAAAGTTACTACAAATTTGGGACTTGTCTAGGAATAGAATCGGACGACCAAGTTTATCCTTGCCTTGCTTTCCTACCCTTGAAGTGCCTGGGATGGCAGTGTCAAGTGTATCCAGGCAGAGACTTGCTGCATGTGTTTCTGCTGCACATACAGTTGCAAGAAAAAGTATGTGAACCCTTTGGAATGATATGGATTTCTTCACAAATTGATCATAAAATGTGATCTGATCATCATCTAAGTCACAACAATAGACAATCACGGTCTGCTTAAACTAATAACACACAAAGAATGAAATGTTGCCATGTTTTTATTGAACACACCATGTAAACATTCTCATTCTATATAAATGCTTGTTGAGTACTAAAACACTAACATATACATATTGGTATAATTCCCAATAAAATGCTGTTCTTAAATTTAAACCTTGATTTGATAATCCCAATTAATTACTTTAATAAAATTGGAATGAGGAAGTCTGTCAGAAATTTTGTGGACCCTGATAACATCTTTGGAAACCGAAACCTTTTATAGATCCCGATGTCCAAAAAGACACCATTTCTGTATGTGTGTGATCATGTTTTAATACATGGTGGAACCTCCATACAGTTATCCCACTTAAACAATATATTTTTTTTCAGAACAACTAGGAATGAAATAGGAGAAACAAAATAAATTACTATTATTCTAAAGTGCTTTGTTTAATACAGGTTTCGGAAGAGTTGTCTTGCTGTGTTGCAAGTGGCCTCTGATAAGGAAGGGACAGCAAACTGTAGACATATGTTATATTAAGTTGCCCTCACTTGTCAGGTCTTGGAAACCCACTTATTTTATTGCAGATGCCTCTATTATACCACGTTACAAATTGACTAAGCATACTTATTATCTTATTTTATTTTAGTTATTTCACAGTGCGCAGCCTATGCAAACAATGTCTAGGTCCCAACTTCAGCTTGTACATCCTCTAAGAGCCAGCATTAATATTGTTTTATCACTCAAAACTATATATAAAGTATTAAAAACATGAACCATCTGTGTATTAGGCTGAGGTTGTTGGGTGTGGGTATAGCTTGAAAGTTGTGGTTGGTATTGAGGAACCTGCCAGGGTCCTTGAACACCAGCCGGGCCAGGTTCTCCCTCCGCACCGGATTCTCCTTTGTCTCCTTGAGCACCAGGTTCACCATTGTTACCCTTAGGTCCAGGGGAACCTTTGGGGCCCTGAGGTCCAGGAGCACCACAGGGAAGCCCGGGACACCAGCAATACCAGTGGGGCCAGCTTGACCAGGAGAACCGGGTTCACCACAAGCACCTTGGGGTGAATCCCTGCTATCCACAATTAAAACCGTGCTGAAGTTACCACCTCTACAAAAGTTAGATCCTTTGATCAAATTCTCTACCTCTGCTTTCAAAACTTTTCTGATTCAATTTCCTCTCACCTCCCAAATGTCCTTGTCACGCCTGCTTAAGATCACAATCCTTATTGACACTGATACAACATACTTTTCCCTCTTTCTTTATATCAAAACAACCTGCTGTATCTTTCTCATGAATCTTCCCTAGAAATTCAGTTGGGGTCAAAGAGGGCCAGTCACAGACCAACAGTTTGACCAAAAGTGAACAAGGAGGAAGCATATTCCATATGAAGGTCGAGATGACCTAACTCACACCCCCTCTTTGTGTACACCTCTTTGTGTACCACACAGATATAATATTAATAAGCTTTTGAAGATTTATTGTGTATGTATAGCACGGTTGTCTAGGGGTGTATACATAAACAGTGAAAGCAGAGTCTTCATATAGGGTTTGCAAAACTGACAGTCTGGGTCATAGGTGTAATGCAGATGTGCGGTTAGGAACTTTTCCATTGTCAGAATACATTGAAAGCACTAATATATTGCAAATATTAAAATCATATTGGTTTCCTATACCTGCAAGGATATGGTTGTAATACTTCAATTGAGTAACTAAATTTTATATGCTTATCATAATGAGTTTAACCCCTTAGCAATTTAATAGGGTGACCTCTTCCCATAGTATGGTTCCTTTTATAATTATTATATTATTTATTCTCTTCTGGGTCTGGAAAATGCTTTCAATATACCTGTAACGGACCGTTTTGCACACAAGGGGTAAAAACCGTTTAGGCGATCGGCCCCCTTTCCAGAGATACAGGCACAGCTACTGCAGAACACCAAGCTCCCGAACTGGATACAAAATAGCACTCCAACTCCCGAACTGGAACCTCACGAATAGCTGCCAGCAGACGAACAGGAAAAGCTCCCAAGCGGCTTACACTCCTGGCAATCAGTCTCCAACAGCATACAGTGAATCCCCCCAAGAACGAGACAAGGCTCCGTGTTGAGGGTCAAGCAGTGGTCTGAGGTGCTGGCACACCCAGCCTGGTTTTTATTACAGTCTTGCAAATACAGGACCACCCACAGGGAGGTATAAAACAACCAATCATATCACAGTTACATCCCACATATTCCCTCCCCTTATCCTGAGAGGAAACTCAATTACACATACAGTTAAAACATACTTTCTACCCAACTTTCATAACTCTAAAACCATACATCACATTCACATAAAATTACATATTCACAATCAATCCATTCAGGGGAACAACATATTCAAAAATGGCACAAATCAGACAAGGGGTTCAAAAGTTAGTAAAAAGTCCTTTGTGACTAAATGAAGCATGGCTTTCTGGCCCAAACCAGTTTCAGAGTCTTCTATCCTGGAGATAAGTAATTCAATTATCTCCCAGGACAGACACAAGACTCCATTAAGCACATGGTTGCAAAAAGACACAAAACACTTTAAAATACATAAAGTCACATTTATACATAAAACACAGACATTTCACATATCCCCAGATAGCTCAGGTCTGAGCGCACATTATTAAGTGAATGGCGCTCAGACCACACGAATACAGTTTAATCGCCATGGAGCCAAAGTCTTTACAGTCAGTTTCATACAAATGGGCTCCATGGGATTCCTATCTGGGGTATAACACATTCAAACAAATCTACTGAACCCCAGGCAGAAAAGCACGAATACAGCTTTTCTGCAGGCAAAAATAAAGTCTTTTAAAAGGGGGCCATAGTCCAAAGGCAGCAGGCGAGCAACCAGGCTTCTCCAATGCAATGTGGCGAGATTGGTCTCGTCACAATACCAATACAAATATAATACAGTAGTTTAGAAATGCCTCAAAAGAAATTATCTGATCTCTATTAAAAATACAATTTCATCATTTTCCTATAATCAATGAGTCATACTAGATGAATCTTAATCTTGGAAAAAACCTATCCTATACATCCATATATCTTTCTTGTTATATAACCAAATAACATAACAATTGTTTATGTTAAAGATAACAAATTTTTATTTTTCTTAAATAATGCAATGCACCTTAAAAGTAGCTTTAACTCTAAATACTCCCCTAATAATACTGAAACGTGGATCCACGATTTTGAAAAGCAAATGATATATTTTTCTTTTTCTTTCCCAGGGGCCCCTTTCTTGTTGGCTGATCAGCGTTTTTTTTTTTTTTTTAATCTGTTGTAAAAAGACACTAAAGGCTTGCGTTATTGACATGCAAATATTCTTTAAATATTTTTCATACTCATTGTAATATCACACATGTCTTATAACACTGAACACAACGAAATTAGCAGATATCCAGCAGACATGCCAATACAAAAAGCATATTCTTGGACAGGCAATTAACTCAATCCAAAATAAATTAATAAATGTCACACTATGTGACAGACATGATTTGGTTCTCATGTTTGTGCATTATGCATGTCTGCAAACTATGCAAGCAGTACTACTTTAAGATTAGATCAGAGCACCTGGCAACTGGACAGGAAAGTCAAATTTTGGCAGGAAGTCCATTATTGCAACAGAATTTTGGAAATCAGCTAAAACTTACAAAAACAGCCTCCCCCTTTTTTTCTTTCTTAAGACTACAACTCATATTGCTCAGGGACTAGTATTCAATAATAAATCAGTCATTTAATAGATTATTATGCTGCCATTTCCATCTGTATCAATACTAAGACAAACTTATTCAATTATAATTTAAAATAACACAGCAAAATAACCATTAACATACATGACAATTAAACTGCATACTTCAAAATGAGTACCCAAAACACACATTTATCACAATCACCATTCACACAGAATAAACTTCTAACAGCTGTATTCAGAACATATTATTGAAAGGTATACCAATTTTAGTTTGTATCAGATTTAAGAGTTCTGGTACCAAAGGGTTTATTTATCTATTTTTTTTTTTTAAAAAGAAGGGATCCCGTACGGCCATATAATGCGTTTGACTTAAACATTCGTATAACACTTGCATTAACCAGTAGCAACATATGAAACCTGGCAATGGAATTTCTCTCTTATACTCTTCTAGAACATTTGGACCAGATTACACAGACATGGTATCACCTGCATTTGTCAGAACTCTCAAAGACTCAAAATATTTATACTACTCCATGTCAAAGGCATGGCAAAATTTTGACCGGTCAATTTGAGTTTCCAAAAGTCATATCAACACAGGTAAAAACCTTTGTCCATGGTTTTCTGATCCTATATTTCATGAGCAAAATTTCAAACCCAATTTACAGAATACATACAATTTAAAGCACATACAACATGTGACGTACTGGAATACTACAAGTTAGCTTACAGCACAAAATGAAGCATGTGTTGGAACGCTGAAAATATAAAATATAAATTTTGCTCTCTTCTAAATTTACAACATAAATTCTCTGCAACAAACACTCAGGGCAGAAAGAATGTGGTGTTTGACGTTTTGATTGAAGTGACTTTTTGTCCCAATATGAAAATAAACGGCTCATCATATAAACAATCATACATCCCACTCTCATGAAAACAGTAGTGGGCTTATAGTACTTTTGTCCAAGTATAAAAATAAGGGCTCATTATGCAAACAAACATACATACATGCAGAGAAATCATGTTAGTTCTAGAATTTATAGCCCCCCTTAAATAACCTCTAATTTTTTTTCTTCATCACCTTTACATGTACTTTTGACATTCCCTCAATTAAGACTTTATACTTAAAATCAGCGTTGCACATCATAAAATAGCACATAAATTAGCAAGCCGGAGTAATGCCAAACATCCATCATACCTTTTTTTTTTTTTTTTTAAACCAATTTAGTCCTCAAAATTTACATCTAAGTTAAATAAATACCACAGTCCACCAAAGACTGGAAATCTGTTTTACAACCTACCAAAGGCAACCTCTACCAAAGAGGAATCTAGGGACGTCTCCCATATGTAAATGTACATCACAGGTACATCACAGCCTACCAAAGGCTTGAAATTCTTTTTAACACCTGGCCAAAGGTGAACCTCTTACCAAAGAGGAAATGTGCACATAACTACTACTGCCTACCAAAGGCAATCCTCCAACCCGTGGAGTAATAGAAGTCTACCTAAGACTTAACAAAATACCATGTCTACCAAAGACATTATCCTGTGAAAATCCCCTTTAAAACTTAAATAGTGAAAAAAAAACATTAAAACAATAAATGCAATGTGTGGGACGATGGCAGAAGCAGGCAAAGGTCCCCAACCCCTTAAGGACACACGACAGAAATACTCCGTCATGATTCCCTTAAATTCCAGAAGTTGTGTCCCCAAGGGGCTAAAGATCCTCTTACCTGCAACTCCGTTCCCAATTGCACCCAAACTTCTGACACCAGTTTGTTGGGGATAAAATCAGCCTGGGCCCTTTGTGGATGATGGATATTTGCCAACTCATACAGAGCTCTGGAAATTGGAAATGAATAGCAGAGACATGTTCAATAACCAATTCAAATTGTATTCATACGTCAGTTATATTTATACCCCATTTTCATAGCAGGATGGGAGGGGGAAAAATGAGCATATGGGCGTGACAATGACATTGTTTTTCACAAGTTATAAACAGCTGTTTCTTATTAGAATTCTACGTTATATAACACATGTATATTTGATCAAAACAGGATACAAATACCTTAATCTTGGACAATTAACAAGAACATTTGGAAATCAGTATGGTCATTCTCGTAAATTATATTAGATAAATTCTTCCCAGAATCGAAGATACAATTCCAAATTTATTCTTGGTTCAAATTAACCCTTATATGAACAGCTAGGATATTAAGCAAAATGGATATTCATATCCTACAGAGGTCCTTATCTTTAGCTTACTTCCTAGTTCCCTGAACTCATTCTTTAGGACCTTCCATTTTCCTCTGAATTTGTCATTGGTACCAATATGGACCATAACAGCTAGGTCATCCCCAGCTCCTCCCAATAATCCCTCCACTTTGTCGGCAACATGCCGAACCCGAGCACCCGGGAGACAGCAAAGTGTCCAGTTGAGACAATCAGAGCAGCAGATTACCCTATCTACTCTCTTGATAATAGAGTCCCCTACCACCACAACCTGTCGAGCCTTCCTTACCCTCTCGACCCCACCCGTACTAGAGGGGCTGTTCCCACGGCTGTTAGAAGGAACAGCTTCCTGCAGTACAGCTACTCCTGAGCTGATGCTCCCAACATCTTCACTCAAACAGGCAAATCTGTTAGGCTGCACAAGATCAGGACTAGCTAAACCTTTCCTCTTTCCTCCCCCCTGCTTCCTCGCTCCACTGTCTCCCAGCTACTTGCCTGTTCCCCATCTGTCTTATCTTCTCCCTCTCCACGACCTGACCTTACTAAACTCTGCTCAGTGAGCCACAGACTCCTCTCAAGATTGTCAATCTCCCTCAGTGTTACAATTTGCCTCTCCAGATGTCTAATCTGAGCTTCCAGAAAAGCCACTCGCTCACACCCACTACAGAGATAAGGACCCTGGACAGATTCATCCAGGCATGCATACATGCGGCTGTAACGGATCACCTGGCACCCCGACTGGGTACATCCTTTGAAGGATGCTCCAAGCGCTCCGCAGACACCACAAATACCGCAGACCCCACGAACCGCCACAGCTTGGTTGGGGTCTCGCCGTCTCCTACCCACCCTGGACCTACGACAAGGCTCCAGGTTCCAGTGGGTTAACTATATATATATATATATATATATATATATATATATTGTTACAAAAGACTGGAGATCACCATGTTGCTGTTTTTACTCACTGATTGATACTGTTTGCCACTGCATAAGTTAAACAGAACACCACACGAATGGATTACACGAACCCTTAGGGAGGCTCCATTCGTGGTACGAACGGGGGACCCCCCAGAAACTGGCGTGTGCCGCCACTTAACCCCGTCACCCCGCAAACTACCGAACGGGCGGCCCCCCCGGCTCGCGGAGTGTGGTAGCCATTAACCACCCAGAGGGCTGCGGTTTGCGGTTAACCACAATGTAATTGGTAGGCCTGGGGGCATCGACGTTCGCACCCAAAGTGCCGAAGGGAAAATACCGAACGATCCACCGAACGACGACCCCCTACAGCGGGTCGCGTGGCGCTCATTAACTGTGGTTTCTGCGGTTAACCGCAGGTCAAGTACCCTGCTCCCAGGTGGTCCTCATTCCCTTACCGAACGAGCCCACTACCAGCCCGACAGCGGGACTTCGTAGGAACTGATACCGAGTTTAGTTCCACGAGTTAGACACGAAGTCCCGCTGCTCGCTAAACCAGCAGAAAACATGGCCGCCAACAAAGACTAAACATCTCAAAATGCCGAACGGACTTTATACGGCAGAAACAGTACATTCTGTTCGTGGGATTAGAGCGGCATTCGCCTGGTTTATCTATACGAACGCGAGCCTTCAAATGAATGGTGGAATGAATGGTTTTCCTGTAATAATGTACAAGTTATGGATTTTTATGTAGTTTTCTGGGACATAATAAAACGTGGTCTTTTGTGCGCTTGGAGATAATTAGATTGTAAAACCGTTGGCCTCATTATCTCCAGCTAGGCGGGTACTAATTCAAATAATACAGTGTACTGTGATTGGTTACCTGTTTGTACTGTACCTGTATTCCATCAGGTCCACAGGGGGCTGTCCTTGGACCTGAGGAATCACATAAATTGCCATGCTATGTGCCAGTAAAGCCAGTTCGTTTTGACCCTCAACTTGCAGCCTCGACTCATGTTGTAGGGATCCGGGATATTGATGCTTATATCGTGCTTGGGGATATTCTACACTTACAGCCGAATACCGAAAGACCTCCGTTCGACTCTCTGCAGCGGGAACCAGGACATCCAAGCGATCAACCCCCCTGCTAGACCGGGGGCAATCGTAACATATATATATATATATATATATTACACACACACACACACACACATTTAATTTATTTTAAACCTGTTTCTATAATTTTTTTATTTTATTTTTTAAATACTTCCCACCTGCAGGGGGACTGTCACATTTCAGACAATCCCCCTGCTGGCAGATCCACAGCCAGCTATAGGAGGCCATATTTGCCGCGGGAGGGCTGCCAGGATCTCCCGAAGAGGATCCTGGCGGTAAGTACATTCTACCTGTATTTTATGTGTATATATGTATGTGTGTGTATGTATATAGCCGTATATGGAGTAAGTTTCCAGCATAAGCGTAGGATAGTATAAAGGGAGCAAGTCGGTTGTGGTGTGCCGAGACCGACGATACGGTAGGCCTGTAAATAAAGAGGGCAAAAAAGAATAGTCAAAGATTTAATACAGTCAACAATTTAACCAGACATTTACTTAAATGCATTACGGTATTTAATTCCTGGAAGGATTTTGAAGGTAGGAATCTAGGACCGCAACTGGACACCATTTGTTGTGGGTAGGATAGTATGTTATGTCTACTGTTGGTGCGTGTTGACTCGTTTTGGGATGTGGTAGAGCCAATAGGTAATGATATATATGTTTACATATGTGGGATTATTGAAGACAATGATCTGTCTGAGTGGTGGTGATGGTAGTGGATTCTCTGGCCTGAGAAAGGCATAAAAGGCAGTGTACATGGCTGGTAATGGCCGACTTGGTAGTATAATTGAATGTTTGTAGCTCTAATAGGTCCGATAAGGATGGAAAAGTTGGATGACTATTGGTTATCTCTGAGAGGAACGTGAGGGGATGGATTCCTGAAAACCTCTGAGTATATTCTTGTCTACTATGATAGCATGAAGTTATGGTAGTTTTGGCCATAGGCTATCCTGTGTTTTTGAATGCCTGTAAAATATATAATTAATGGTGTGTGAGATGATTTTAGTTTAAGGTGGCAAAAATGAAGCAAAACCTAGGAGAAATGTTATGACACAGGTTGAGCTATGTCATGTTCCAGTGAGATTCTTTAAAACCAGGTGAATAACTGTGTTATGCGTTCTACAAGTATGGGATGAAAGTGCTAGGTGTGATAGTGCATGCTATGCTGCATGAGTATGTCTAATCCATCATTTTGTCTCTGGAACGAAAGAGTGGCCGTGACTGTATGGGCGGCTGTAGGAAGCGTATGATGAACATGTTTGGAAAATAAATGAGACAATTGTCAGCAGGGATGTATACCCCCGCCTGGTACATGAAAGTAAAAGAAATGTGATAAGTGGCCAACCAAGTGAGTTTCCCAGCAATACCATGATCGTATGGATGATGAGTGGCATTTGTTGATATGACATGTGCTTAGTTGTCTGAGTAACAACGGATTGATGACCCTGACCATGATTTACCCCATGCCACAGCAGCTGCTTTTAGCGGGGAAATGATTGCCCATGTTATGCCATGTAAGTGCCACTGTGTAGGGTAGATGGTAGCTGTTTACTGTGTTGATGATATTGGTCTTACTTAACGAAGCTTCAACCCATGCTTGAGTGATAGCTGTAAAGGTAGATCAATGGTGTGTATAATAAGGAAACTCCTTGGAGGGTATGAGGGAGTTGAGACTCTGGGTAGCGAAGGTGTGTGGTGCCAATAAGTCTATGGTTAGTCTTTGTTTAAGGGAAGATTTCCTTGTGACAATACCAATGTGTTTGTGTTTGTCGCCATGCTGTAAATGGTGGAGATTGGAAAACCCAAGTAAAAACCCCTCTGGAAATCTTGGCCATGAGTGTGTTTACAGCCGATGGTTCTGTTGTATTGACTGTAAGTGAGGGCATGCTATATTCCTTGAAGGTGTATTTATGATACCTGTATGGGAGCCTTTTGAAGCTCCAGAGCTTTAGTAAATCTACTACAAGTCTGGAAGGGTAAGGAGTCAGTAATGTTGAAAATGAATTGGTGTGTACAGATGGTGAGTACGTTCTTTGTAAGTTGTATTGGGACACATGGTTTGTCATGTGCCCTGAATGATTTGAACATAAATGCAACAGTCTATATGCAATGCAACTACTCATACCAATTGTCTCTGGTAGTTCAGAGGTGCTGGTACCTGGAGCCTGAGAGTGCTCGTCCGTTTATTTGGGAGAAAATCCCTTCTGTATGGGTACCTGCTTAAATAAGCATCTCTACATATTCCAAATGCCAACATAACCAAGGGATGATCAGTTCCCGATTTACCTGGAATCCCTGGGTCTGACCATCATAGATACATCATCATACATATTTATGCTTTGTTTCCCCAATGTGCCGGGATCATTTGTGCAGGGTTAACGTCTTGTACCAAGAATTGATTGTACCAGGTAACAGAGTTTCGGTTGGTGCTGGTTGTACAGTAGCGTGAGGCCCAGCCTTGTGAGGGCTGTGACTGACTCGAAATTGCCAGTCTGTCGTAAATTTTTTGGCTCATGAGTTTGAGTGAGGCTAGCATGGCTAGCATAGAGTTGGTGTTGTTGGGCCTTCCCCAGCCTCCGTGTTGTCCGTTGATATATGGAGGAGTTTGTATAACTCTGCTTTCCTTGCTGTGGCAGGGTAGGGGATTTGTCGCCTCCTTAGGTCGGAGCCACATCTCCTCTGCTTGAAGGTGTATCCCTTCTAGCCGGTGTGCCAGGAAGAGGTGATTCTTCACCATCTTTTTGAGAAATACTTAAATAGCAATAAAGATTGCAATTATTATTTGTACCCAGGGGTCTTGTGCTGGCTTGCTAGCTAAGCCGTAAGGCGAAACGATTAGGCTTGGTGTTTTTTGGTGACTGGCGAGGCCCTGCTAGTTGCCAAGTGGCTTGAGAGGATCTATCTATGCTTGGCGCAAGGGGATTTTTTGTGGAAGGATGTTGGCCTCTCGGTGACAGTAACCAGAAAATAGGAAGGGGAGTGACAGGTGAGGCCCTCTCTGTTACAATGCGAGGCGGCTAGCTCACGAGTGGCCCAAGGGGTGTATGCCTCCGAGTGTGAGGCGGGGTGTTGGCCTCGCGGGACCACTATCCAAAGCGTAAAACAGAGAAAACAGGGGGTAATACCTATTGGGCCATAGAACCCTAATTGCCAGTACATTACTACTACTCCAGGGAAGGTAAGAGATGAAGGTGTATCACTTCTAGCCGGGGTGCTAGGATGAGGTGATTCTTTACCATCTTTGAGAAATACTTAAATAACAATTAAGATTGCAATTATATATTTGTACCAAGGGGTCTTGTACCGGCTTGCTAGCTAAGCCGCAAGGCAAAACGTTTAGGCGTGGTGTTTTTTGGTGACTGGTGAGGTCCTGCTAGTTGCCAAGTGGCTTGAGAGGCTCTATCTATGCTTGGCGCGAGGGGATTTTGTGTGGCCACCGAACGTTGCGGCAGGATGTTGGCCTCTTGGTGACAGTAACCAGAAAAATAGGAAGGGGAGTGACAGGTGAGGCCCTCTCTATGATACAATGCGAGGCGGCTAGCTCACGAGTGTATGCCTCCGAGTGTGAGGCGGGGTGTTGGCCTCGCGGGACCACTAACCGAAGCATAATGCAGAGAAAAAAGGGGGTAATACCTATTGGGCCTAGAACCCTAATTGCCAGTACACTATTACTATGCCAGGGATAACTACGTGAGCAGGTGTACTACCTGGTAGTATGGTATTGAACCTGACAATCCGTAAAGGTTTTTTAGTAGTAACTGTAACCTGAATGGATAAAATCGTATGGCATAAGGAAATACGGCATGGACCAAGCTTATCTCAATACGTACAGTATATGTGAAAAGTAAAGTGCCGTGATGTGTAAATATTAAACATCATAGCCATACTGATTAAATATGTATCAATCTTAACCCATTAAGTGCCGTATGTACAAGTGAAAAAGTGGTCTGTCCCCACCTTGTATGTTGTATGTCCCCTTGCTACGGGAAAGTCTGTTGTGTGAGCAGCGTGCTGTGAAAAATGTATGTGAACTATATTACCAGTTACGTATATACAGATGCGTGTGCCACTGTGTCATAATATGTGTATTTATACCAGATGTTGATATACTGCTTACTATGTGAATTGTTGTATGTCTTCTTGAATGGTAGGGGTCAGTGAACATGGTGTTGCAAAATGCAAGTGCACTGGAGATCTGCCGAGTGCCCTATAGGTGGCAGTGTAGTTGATACTGATTGGTATGTGAAATGTTGTTTGTCTGTTGACCTATAGGGGTCAGTGTTTTGGTGTTTGTAAAACCCCATGAAAATTGTCAATGTACTTGACAGACCTGTAGGTGGCAGTGTTGATAGAACCACTGTTGGTCTTGTTGTGAATTATTGTGAATTAAACCTGAAGTTGAGCCTGTGCTGGAGTTTAATTTATGGTTTATGGTTATGTTTAAAACAATCGTATGTGTAATTTATATTGGCTGGTAAATTGTATATAACATGTAAAGACAGTATTGCTGTTGACCAGTAGGGGTCAGAAATGCTGATTGTATGGTAAGATACCCTTTAACCCCTTAAGGATACATGACATGTGTGACATCTCATGATTCTCTTTTGTTCCAGAGTTTGGTCTTTAAGGGGTTAATCCAAATGCAAGGTTAACGTGAGATTTGAGAGTGACCTGTAGGGGTCAGTGTAGTTTATGTGAAACATTGTTCATGAGCTATGCCCCAGCATTATAGTTGTATGACAGGGAAACAAACAGTGCCCGTTTGACAATATACAATAAGTGAACATAATATCTTAATAACAGTCATTGTAACAAACCAAAGTTCTGTTTGTGGGTTGTAAACACACGAAACGTGTGTGTGTAGTACAGCGATGGCGAACCTTTTTGAGCCCGAGTGCCCAAACCGTGATATATGCCAATTTTGTTTTCCTTAAAGTGCCAAAACGGCAATTAAACACTTGAATACTGAGGTTTAAGTTTAGAAAAAACTCATACAGTTGTCCGAACTAATTAACATCTCTGTGTGTGTATTAAGCAGGTTGTGTGTGCTCGGCAGTCTGTCTGTATGTGTATTAAGCAGTCTGGCTGTATGTGTACTTAGCAGTCTGTCTGTATTTAGCAGACTGCTGAGTACAGTCTACTGAATACTGCACACGCACAGGCAGACTGCTGAGTGTACACGCGCACAGGCAGACTGCTGAGTGCACACGCGCACAGGCAGACTGCTGAGTGCACACGCGCACAGGCAGACTGCTGAGTGCACACGCGCACAGGCAGACTGCTGAGTGCACACGCGCACAGGCAGACTGCTGAGTGCACACGCGCACAGGCAGACTGCTGAGTGCACACGCGCACAGGCAGACTGCTGAGTGCACACGCGCACACACAGGCAGACTGCTGAGTGCACACGCGCACAGGCAGACTGCTGAGTGCACACGCGCACACACAGACAGACTGCTGAGTGCACACGCACACACACAGACAGACTGCTGAGTGCACACGCACACACACACAGACAGACTGCTGAGTGTACACAAACACTGCATTGAGGGGTGGGTGATGTGTGTAGGGCAGGGGTGCTGTGTGTATGTCGTCCCCCCTCCCCCTCCACTGTTTTCTTTCCCCCCATCGCTCCATCAGTTTTCTCCGCCTAAACCTCCCTCAGTTTTGTTCCCCCATCCCACACTCAGTTTCCCCCTCCCATCTCTCCCTCAGTTTTCTTCCCCCTTCAATTTTCTTTCTACCCCCCATCCCTCCCTTAG